AGCGCGGCTACTTTCGGTTGCCGTTGGTGGTGAAGTGGGAGAAGGGCAGCAGCATGTTGTTGGTGCTAGGTGAGGTGTCAATGTGGTGAGCAGGTAGGCTGGTATGGTGAGTGAAGGAGCTGCGTGGGTGGAATGGTGGTGGACTGGTGGTCCAAGGAGAAAGACTAAGAAAAAAAATTATTAACCGGTTTAACAGGTTGTAGGTCAAAAGGATCATTAGAGGAAGATCCCTGTCAAAGGTGAGATTGGTTCTGAAATTTCAAAAGGTGGGATTATTTATGGAAGACGGGGTAAAGGTGGGATTATTAGTTTACAATTTTCAAAAAAAAAAAAAAAAAAAAACCTCTTTACATACACGCAACCATCAATCTAAATAATTAAAAGGAAATAAGTTAGGCATACTGTAGAATGAAATCAAATTATTAAAAAGTAAAAGAAAAAGGTAAAGAAAAAGCTTTTAAGGTATCTAAATTCCAAATAAAAAAAAAAAAAAGTCATGCATGTTCCTTTCAATCTGAAGATTCTCAAAGCCACAAACTCACAAAGTGAACGCTAGGGCCTTGTACGTAGACTGATAACCATCATCATACAAAATAAATAGGTGGAAGTCAAGTGTGAATCTAGGACCTTAATTAAATTAGATAGTTAGATGTCTATATACTCCTAATATTTTATTTTCTTAATCTAAAATATAACACAAATTAAATTAGCTCAGATTTAGATTCTATTTAAATTAGCACAAACTTTTTTACTTTAAATTTTTACACACAACAACAATAAGGTAATTAGTTTGAGAACCAAAATCCCCTTATTGGATGTAAGGGCATGTATAATATATTTATAATAAGTTTGGATGACAACTAATTAATTGGTTAAATTTTTAAGGGTGATAATTATAATTTGAGATCAAAATTCTTTCACATTATTTATCATTTGTGATTTTCTTTATACCAAAAACAATCAATGGTAACTCGTCAATATTTTGAGAGAGGTTTCTAAAACTTGAAAAGAATACATCGAATACCGATTTTAGATTAGGATTAATGATACACATTACATTCAATTGCTCACTCCTAATTTTTCTTCTGTATTAAAATTTTCTTGGTCTTACACATTTTATCGATAGCTTAATTAAATTATGTAACACCAAATAATTGACTAAGAGTTTATTCAACTAAATTAACAAGTGCTCAAGTATAATAAATTCTATGTAATTTCTAGTCTATATATCTTCTACCAAAACCAACCAACTTGATCATTTTTTTTTATACTAACCTTGACTAGTAATTACCTCGGTCCAAATACAAACAAAAAGTAAACAATTAGTGGTATAGACACGATCTTAATACTACAAGATTTTACCAACAAATCTAGTTATCATTTACACAACGTAACCATTCACGTTAGACATACATTATTCGAAACATACGTTCCAATCATATCATCATATTTCGACAATTTGCCTTAAACATCACATCATCCCAACCTCACCAATTGACACTCCCAATTAACACTTCAATTTAAAACGAAGATTAAAATTGAAGAGATAGAAACTTCATTCAATTAATGATGTGGATATTAATAAGGTGGAGAAAAACAAAAGAAGTTGTTTAGCTCAACAATATCTATAAAAATTCCTAATTTTCTCAACAATTCTTCCCACCAAAACCATGTGATTTGGATTTGGTCAAAAGGTTTGAAACCCAATCACTCAAATACTTTAGAAATGTTGTAAAACAAAATGAATGTTGCACATTTCTCTCACATCACTTTAGTTTACTAGTCATGAGAAAGTAACGTAAGTTCTCGGTAAGTAACGCTAATTTGTGGTTGGTAAGATAAATTAGATGTTTATATTAGGAGTGTACAAGATAATGACGCTAGACCGGGAAATTAAGGTGATACTAACAATTATGAATTATACAAATCAAGCAAAATGTAGATTGGACATTGACATACTTTAGAATAAAATTCTTGGCATATGTAGATGTACAAGACTCGTGGTGTAGTTACAATTTTACGTTACCACAAAGAAATTGGTTGGGAAACGGAGTTTGTGTTGGAATCAAATTCAAAAATTTTTATTTTAAAAGTAATTCATTCTTTTCTAAACATTGTATGAAATAGTTTTTTTGTTACCTCACTTTTTTAGCATAGTTTTTCAAATTCATTGTTTAATCATATACCAGTTTTTAGGTCCGTACGATGCTCCGAGTTACTGCATTAATTTCATAATTCAAATCCTTATTAATTTATATTTAATTTTGATATCATGACATATAATATGACAATAGCTTAGTGAAAACTTTGAATGAGAAGAGCGCCACATGGCACCTAAACTTGTTTATGAGCGCATTATAGATTTCAAAATAAAAAGCTAAAGCCAATACTCCGTATAATAAAGCTAAATACTGAGACAAATTAGTGCGAGTTCATATTAAATTAGTATATTTAAATATTTAATCTAAATTTTTTATCGAGATATTATTAGACTTTAAATTGAGCTATCAAAGAACAGAGAGTCTTAAACTCCATCCCATTTGTCTATAATAATTTACCCCATGCATGTCCACTTAGACATAACCTTTACACGTAAAGATCACTTAGACCACTTCCAATGGTGGGCAAAAATAATGTTTATCTCTCTACCCACTTTCTCTCTCAACAAATCAGTTTTGTCCATGGGCAATTTTTTTTCACAATTTCTCTCCCAATGGTGAGCAAAAATAATGCTTGCCCACCACTCTATCTCTTACTTTTTCAATACCCCACCATTACTTTCTCTCTCCTACACAACACTTCTTTATTTATTAATTTCATTTATATTTTAACAATATTACTCCAAATAAATAAAAACTAGTCTAAATTTGTGTAACTTTTTTTTTTATATTAATTTCATTTTTATTAATTTCATTTATACAGCAAAAATCTTCTTCTAATTTCGGAATATTTACAAAAATAAAGAATATGGAGGATTTATGGTATTTATGAAATTATACCAAAATATATCAAAATACATGTCTATTTTATAGAGAATTAAATTTTATAACCGTTGGTAATTTTTTTTTTAATAAATATTTATTTCAGAAATTACATTACAAACATTATTACCGTTGGCAACGGCTACAATTTTCCTATTGGCCGGCTACCTGAACATGCCACGTGGCGCTCCACCATTCGCCCATGGATTGACGCGCGTCAGTCCACTAACTTAATTTTTTTTATTTCCATCAGCAATATGTGGGGCCCACCATCTTACTATTCATCTCAATTTTTGCCCAAGTCTTGGGCAAATTAATACATGCCCATGGGCAATTTTTTTTAGCTCACCATTTTAAGACAATTAATGACATGCTTGTCCACCAAAATACCCATGAGCAATTCTTTAGCCCACCATTGTGGGTGCTCTTACACTAGTAAAGTTATCATATACTTTCTCTATTTTCTTTTAAATGCAACACATCCTTTTAACACGCTTTTTTAGAAGATGATTAGACTAGGTAAACAAGCTACTTTATCAAAATAATTTTAACACCAAGATTATAGAAGGGTTAGGTACTACATGTATAATTTTTTTTTTTAATTAATTTATCCGTTTACATTACTAAATCTCTTCCTCAAAATACGTGTCAAAAAAGTGTGTTGCAATTAAAAGAAAACAGTAAAATTACTCCGTCCTGAATATAAACTTACATAAAGTCACATACGCTAAACTCATCCCATTTCTCTATAAAAAGTTATCTCTTGTCTATTTAAAAGTTATAATGTTACTTTAACACATAAAGATCACTTTAAAAAGTTTTTTCATATATCTTGTAAAAAGTCACATTATTTATGTAAGTACCCATCTTGCTTTATAACAAATCACTTGCAAGTAATATAATTTTTTCATATATCTTGTAAAAAGTAATACTTTTATATAATTGTTCTTATAATTTTACTAAAAAAAAGCCATTCTTATCTACCTAAATTCTTTGTACAAATAAACCATTGGTATGAAAAATAGAGGTCATGACCAATTTGGCATAAAATTATAAGTATAAATCTGACCAAAAATTGAATATATGGAAAAAGATCACTATCTAATACTCCATACAATATGAAAAATAAACCAAATTGGTATAGAAAATGTCAAGGTTGAGATCATGGAGGAGTGGTATCGCTCCTCGCCTCATATCCCGTTAAGCAAGGAGTATATAGAAGATAAATCAATGCTAAAAATCTTCTACTTCCTCCACTAAATATTAATTGCAACAAAGAAATATTTTATGTCTCACAAATAATAACCCTTTATTGCAATTAATAATTAACGGAGGAAGTATTATATTTTCACCTAATATCTACACTGTTACAATTTACACCCTCGAAAGTCCAAACAAAGCATGCAAGATGACATCTGGGTGTCGTTCTCACCCAAAAAAAAGGATTACCTGAAGAAATGTATTTCTACAATATAGTATAAGAAAACTAAGGAAACCGGAAGTTGCGTAAAATTGTGGCCAACATTTAAATAAAAAGGTTGTATTTTACTACGACTGATCATTTTTTACACTACACTGGGGTCATAACCCCTGTAACCAAATCGCCTATTTGTTATTAGGCCCAAAAATGCCATTTTATTCTAAAGCCAAGATAATCCCTGCAGGATCTAAAGAACAGTATAACAGAATAAATTATATGAGACCGACACCCAACCAAAACATCCTATGAATCCCTCACATTCGTAAAATTAGGTTTCGTTCTCCTCAACTTATTATAATGTTCATTAAGGTAGAAGTTAAGATAAGCGAATATAAATTCTGCACAACAAGAACAGAAAACAAATTAAGTTCAGCACAAATATGCAGAAAACCAGGCATGAGTAATTTAGCTGCAAATAGTTTACAATTTCAAAAGGCAGTCTTGTATGACTGCAAAAGTGGAATCATAACTGAGCTTTATCTAGATTAAAAATCAATGGTAAAACATAGTTCTGCAAGTAAGCACATAACAGTTCAAAATGTCAAAAACCAATGAAAATTTTAACTCACAAGCACCTTTGAATTTCCAGTTTCCTTGTACAAAAATAAAAACCTGGGAATAGAGTTTTCTTTTTGGGCTTGAAGAGAATACAAAAGAAACGAATATTGCAAGCAGCAACGCACAAAATCTGCGATAAATAAATCTAAATGTTCCAGTTAGACTATCATCTCTTCCCATATTTTTCCAGGAGAAACGCTATCAACATAAATAATACTGAGCTTCTGATGATAATAATACTACTACCTATCCTATTCTCCTGGGTGTGGAATTCAGAACCTTCAATTACTTTCATGCTAGTATTCACAATTTGCATCAGTTCTGTATTTACACGACAGCAATGGAAATCCTTAGGGATACTCACTAGCTTCCACCCAAAACTCTTCGTAGATCAGCCTTCTGTTCCTCGGTCAGCCTTGGTGGGTACTTCACATTGATTTTAACTCTCAGATTGCCTTTTTTATTAGGTTCTTTTGAGATTGGCATCCCTTGATTAGGTACAATCACCTCATCGCCAGGTTTAACAATATCGTTTAGAGGGATAGTGATACTCCTTCCATCTAGGGATGTCAGTTCAATATTTTTTCCAGTGAGGGCCTCCAGAAGGGTTATGTCCTGGTCAATCACCAAATCATTACCATCTCTCTTATAGAGGGGATGAGGTTTCTCATCTACCACAAAAATAAGGTCTGATGGAATGACACCGGGCCCCTGGTTGCCTTTCTCAGGGAAAGTGATCTTAGTGCCCTTCTTCCAACCCGGCTTTATGTCAATGGTTAGTATCTCCTCTACAGTACGGACCCTACTGCAACAAGAAAACCAGCAAATTTGAACCATATATTATCTCAAAAAAAAGGCATATTACATTATTGTGCATGACAAAGATAATGCAAAGAATAGCCTTTTTCTCTTTTTTGAAGGAATATAAGGTAACAAAAGAAACAATTCAATGAATAAAAACATCATGATACATGTATAAACATACTTTCTCCATAATACGTTAGGATTACATGACAAACAAACGATACATTATACAATATGCTTAAACTAATATACTTTGAATGCATACATACAAACACAAAAGAATAAACTCGTAGGATGGAGAAAGTGTAGTGAACAAGCAAAAGTAGGTGAAGATGCAATTAAAAAATAATTAAAAACTCAGTCCACAGTAAACAGATTAACTGCAAGATGCAAATGAGCAAACAAAATTGAGGATGCTGCTATATACAGCCAACATCTTCCCTCTTGTTCTGGGGGTAGTCTAGGTCTCTTAGAGGAATGTGCATTGATGGTAACAAACTCTTAACAAAGCATCAGCTCTAACATTTGCTATTGGTCTCACCAAGTCAACCAGAATCACCCAGTAAAACAAAAAATCTACATGCATTTACCACTAAGACTCTGTCACGGATAAGTAGCCTTGCTTTTGTGATAACAAAGAAGTTATTTCTATAAGACCCTCAATCTAAAACAAACTGTCAGCTAAGTAAGAATTGCAGACAGAAATTGTAAAACAGCTACCACATTCCTATCTGGCTATCTTGGCCGTCATAGTTAAGTAAATTTGAAAGTCTTATTTTAAACCTCTACACAAAGAGGTTAGGCAGGGTTCGTCTTTCTGTTCTCAGAGACAAGATGTCTCTCTATACCATTAGAATGTAAAAGCTGCAACAGATTAGTAATTGTCCACAAACCAGAATCATCTACATTAGCACATATTTAACTCCAAACGTCGCCCAACGAAAATTAACCATCAAAAGTTACAAAGCGATTGCATCTAAACAACACAGAAAAACAATCTACATTACCACATAATTCATGTTTATCATCACTGATACCAAAAAGTTACAAGTATACAGCAGCATAGTTTAGTAACAAAGAAGGGCAAGTAGAAAGAAGGAACAAATATTTTATTCAGAAAGGGGTCGATGGGAAAAAGAAAAAAGAGCAGGTCTGCACAGAACCGACCAGTTATCAACCTACTGACAGAGACAAGAAGTGAGGAGTACACGAGGATGGTTATATTAACTCTAGTGCGATATATTAGTTGACTTTACTGAAAAGCACAAGTGATGCAGTGCGTGAGGGTGCGACCTTGCAGCTGGTACAACGCTTATAAGTTGTGAAAGAGGCTGGTAATCAGCACAATAGTCGCAGAAGACAATGGGCCAAGAGTGCTAAGTGAGCTCACAGAAAAAGTCAACGCATTGAAGGTTGTAAAAGGGATGATGCAATGGTACGGGTTAAAGAGCAATCAAAGGGTTTTAAGAAGCTTAAAACTGTGATACAACTGTTATTAGGGCATTAGACAGTACCAGTCTATTGATTAGGTAATTAAATGGCACCAATCTATTTTCCAAATGTTATATAGGCAATCTACTTTTGCAATAAGTTAATGGCCAGATAAAATTATCACAAAAAAAATCATACGAATGCAATCATAGGTTAAATCTCTTGCAGCAGCCAGCTGTTGATTTACACATAATTGTCAAAGAGAGTAAAAAGGACCCTAAGAAGAATTCGAATGTGTCGATTCTCTAACACTAACAGTCTAGCACAACTAAAAGACACTCTATACAAAACCTCATCACATCAAGGGACATAATGTTGCATTTTAATTTGTATATGAACCAATATTGTCTCTGATGAAAAGCAAATACAGCCAAAGAAACCATTACACCACAAACTGCCTGAATTATTCATGAATCATCTTGTCCAATTAATTGAGAAAGGAATAGTAAAGCTCATAAATCATAATGCAGCACTTGTGGCACCAACATACAAAACCTCATCACCTCAAGGACTCATATTGTAGTATTTTAATTTGTATATGAACCAATATATTCTCTGATGAAAAGCAGAAGCAACCAAAAAAAACCATCATACCTTAAACTGTTAGAATTATCCACAATTTAATGGACTTGATACCCTCAAGAGAATGAATCATGCAGCATCTTGTCCAATTAATCGAGAAGGGAAGCAAAGCTCATAATGCGGCACTTACGTCCCCCCATCCTCCTTGTATGCCTCCCACCTCATATCATACTCAAGCGAGCACCCAAAGACAAAAGAAAGCTATCATTTATCAAATTCTTGAATCATCTTAATGAGTTAACCTGATATAGAGCACAACCACTCTCTCCATTGTAAAATCGAAACCAGCCATTTCTCACCCAAAGATCCACAAACCAGTCAAAATAACAGCTCATATCAACCACAACTGTAATATGTCTCACATTTTTCAGTGCTCGATTCGAATATTTCCAAAATAGATGTAAAAGGCTTGAAAACGCTTCATTTTGGCACCTCTAATTTTACGCTGCCAGTTTAGGTATCTCAAGTTGTGAATTTGAACATTGAAGGTTTCTGACTACCAAATTTATCTCTTCATAACTAAGGCTATGTATCTATCACCTAAAATTCCTCCAACTCTTACTAGACTTGTTTGAAATCCCAGTTTGGGCACCCTTAGTCAAAAAAAAAAAAAAAAAAAAAAAAAAAGAACCAATAGAACCACAACTTATTTGGGTAGCTCCTATCTGAGAGTGGTCATATATGAACTTGAAACCTTTTTAAACCTAAACCTTTAGTTTTTAAAGAGGAAAAAGCAGCAACTAAATACTTATGTGGCGCCCAATCTTTGAACCACCAATTTGGGCATCTTAATCCAAAGGTTTTAAGTTTTGTTCAATTTTGGGCACTTCTTTTGGAAAAGTCAGCTTCTCCGTGAGCACAATGATATGGACACGTGGTACAGTCAACTTAACAATGACTTAACCCATAAAACACAATGACAAAAATATCTAAGAGGTAAACGCAGTGGTTTAAAAAATAGATAACTTCAGTCAATGAGGCAAATTTTTTTTAGACTAATGCAAAAAATATAATTTTTGGGGTAACAATGTAACATCTAGTTGGAGCTCTATCATCTTAAAATTTGACAAACTGTTAAAATAATTCCAAGATAACTTGAGGGAATTCCTTGAGAAGTATAATCATTTTCCAATCACTGGAATAAGGGGCCGTTTGGTTTGTTCGGAGTAAACGGAATGGAATGAACAAGGGGAATGGAAGGAATGGAATGAAAATACCTTATATTCTTTATGTTGTTTGTTTTAAACAAAGGGAAACAATCCCACCACCACACCACCACCACACAACCACCAATTAATTCACTTTCCACCTTAGAAACATCCTCAACCCCTCGCCGGCAGCCGCACAGCCCCTCGCACAGCACCGCCCACGACCTTTCCTCTCCCTCCTCTGACCGAGCACTCTCCTCACACCGGCCACCGCAACCACAATCCTCCTCTCTTTCTCCTCCTTCCACGCAACCACAATCCTCCTCTCTTTCTCCTCCTTCCACGCAACTGCAACCTCCCTCTCTTCCGCCGGATCGAACCTAAGCCCACGACCCAAACCACCAGCGAAAATCAGCGGCCATGGTTCTAAAAACCAATCGGTTTCGAAGGTGGGGAAGGGTCGATTAGGGTTTTTGATGGTGGGGTATTGGGCGGCCGGGGGATTTCCGGCGAAGGGTTAGGTATTAGGCGGTGCGACGAGGGGATGGCCAGGATTAGGGAATGTCTTCGAGGGGTAGCCGGCTAGGGGTAGGTGGTGGAGGGGAGGGCCGGCTAGGGGTGGGGGAGGCGCGGCGAAGGGTAGGTGGTGGTGCGGTTTTCCGGTGATGTGTGTAGGTAGGAGGGTGGTGGTATGGTGGTGTGGTGGTGGCCTAGGAATGGAATGGAAATACCTTGGGGGGGGGGGTGGGGAATGAACTTGGAGGGATTTGGGGGAATGAAGGGGGAAAGGGGAAATGGAAAAGTGGCCAAACACACAACAACAAAGGGAATGATTCCCGTTGATTCTCATTCCCTTTGATGAATACCCCCAACCAAACGGCCCCTAAATTACATGATGGGCAGAATTAATTTAAGGGACATAACAACACTTCGATATTTTCCAAAAAAGTTGATGTTTGTTGCCCACGCTACCAATTCAAAAAGTAATGCTAAGCAATTTGAAATAACTTCTTGGCCAAACTAACACACACCAGGATCAAAAAAATCAGTTACTAATTTGATCTATCACTTATTTCTGCCAATTCCAACAAAGTGCATCTCAAAATCATATGATAACTTTTCAAGGTGTACGAGAATCAATACCTTTACTAGCACATATACTGTAACATGCCAGCATCTGACATTCAAAAACAATTGTCTTAATCTTTCCTAGAGAGAGAACTCCAAATTCTACACTTAATAACCAACCTGATATTAACTATCCTTCAACTACATAAACTGATATACCCCACATTGCCACCATAGGGACAACAAGTCCATTGAGATTTCAAGAGATAATCAAAGATAAAAGTAAATCCATCATGAGCAACCATAAAACTATGCATAAAGCTATAACAACCATTTATGGCTCCAACTCTAAATCTCTTTGAGGTTGTATTGATAAGTTCATACTCTTCTTAGTATACACCTGTGGTTGTAGATGATTGACAACATACCAAAATATCACTAATATAATCCATTGCTCAAACTTCCCATTGTAAATTCTAAATCCATCTTAGAAACTCCTGATAAGCTACCATACAGCCACATTAAGCCTCAGGTAATCAAACTGCAAACTCCAAATTCCAAACTTACCATAATAGATAGAGATTTTTTGTTTAAAAAAAAAAAAAAAAATAACCTTTAATATTATCCAAAACCATTGATGTTGTGCTGCCCATGCTACCAAGTCCAAAAATGTACTTCGAAATTCTAAGATGTTGAAGCAACTGCTTCAGCTAAAAACCACATAAAGCAGGACCAAAAGAATCCTCAAATGTCACGCCACCATCGAAAACTGCAAGTCCATTGAGAAACTCTCCGTTGACAAAACAGAGTCATAATCTAAGATAATAGTAAATCCATCATGAGCTAATATAAAACTCAATAAAGTATGCATAAATTAATATCCCCATAAGGATCCAACAATATATCTCTTGAGATTGTAATGATACAGCTCATGCTCTTTCTAAAGTATATTGATAATTAGTAACCTCCTAGACAATCATCAAATTCATCCATGGTTTACTTCGCACAATAAGTTCCAAATCCAACTTATAAATTCCATGATAAGATACCATTCAACCACAATTGACCTCAGATAGTGACGGTGCAAACTCCAAATGCCTAACTTAATAATCTATCAACGGTAAAATGTCCACATTCCACCATAAATCCAAACTCATCCACATAACTTCAGCTTTAACCACGACAAAGACTATCATCAACCTCAAGAACTGTTAATCGATAACTACGATAGACACAAAATCTGACATCATCATTAACCAACTTAATTTCCAAGCTCCGCTTTCACTCATTGAGAAACTACAAACTTCCTAACAAACATGATTCTTAGGTCATAATTTGGCTTTAGCCTATAGCTTTTTTGTTTACATCTCATTCTCATTGAATCATAGCAAACACTCACCAACCTATCTCATGTTTCAACAAATAAGCTAACCTTCTAAACAAACAATAATACATTTAGTTACACTAATTCAATGAGCCACCACTGTGCCTAGCCTCACAAGACTATCCTTTTCTCGGATATCAGTTTTCATTTTCTTATTCTGCTGTTGCACAGGAATGCACAAACACACAAACACTAATATGTGCCTAAATGTCCTTACACACCCGTGTACGAAGCATACAATACACCGACACTCATTGTTTGCAAAATTGAAGCCTCCCAAATACGCAAAAATCAAATACCCTCCGCTGTACAATCCACCCGGGTGTATAACAAAAATTGCAAATGCCAGCAGCTAACAAGACCCATAATTCAATCCATAATAACCCCAGAAAACCCATAATTGATCAATTTGCTACACCTCAACAGTCAATACTCCACATAAGAGTCTCACAAAACCACAAAAATAACAAGTATAATAAACAAAAACGATCAAAAAATATCAGACAAATTCCAAACAAAAATCAAAATTTAAGAAACAACATAACATACCCAGTATCATCAGCAACAGTCCTAGAAATCTTCATCTTCTTCTTAGCACCCTTATACAAATCCTCCAAACTACAAGGCAAATTATTCTCAACAGGAGGCCCTTTCTTCTGTACTTGCGGAGCCACCCCTTCTCCACCTACACCATTCGATGTCCGAAAATACCCATCTCTATAACTTCTCCCTCTACTAGGAGCTCTACCACCCGGGTTCGAACCCCCTCCATCCCCAAACAATTCCGCATAAATATCCTCAGCATCCCTCGGATTAAACCGAAACGACGAGAAATTAGGGTTAGGGTTTCCATTATGATGGTGGTGTCGATTCCGGTGGTGTGAGGCCGACGCGCCGCCGTGAGAGGCGGAAGGAGGCGGCGGAAATTGACCGGATTTGAGAACTTCTTCACCGTAAAGATCGTAGATCTGACGTTTCTGGGGATCACTCAAAACATCATAAGCTTCGGAAATCTGCTTGAATTTCGCTTCAGCTTCACGCTTGTTATTAGGGTTCTTATCTGGGTGCCAAGTCATTGCTAATCGACGATACGATTTTCGAAGATCATCTTCGCTTGCATTTCGATTAACTTTGAGAATGTTGTAGTAATCAACCCCCATTTTAGATAATCAATTTTTTTTGAAATTTTTTGTGGGGTTAATGATTGATGATTATAAGGGTTGAATTTGTGGGATTTTTGTTTTTTTGGGGGATTTTGAATGTTGTGTTACCGTTGGGAAAGGGAAGACGTGGAGGTGTGTAAGAGGAGGAAGAAGAAGAGGAGAGAGAAAAAAAAAAGAGTATGTTAATGGTGGATTATATGGAATGGAAGAAAATATGAATGAAGATGACACAACGTGTGTTAGTGGGCCTACAATAGATACGGTCGTTGAAATGGAATTTTCGTGGAATTATTTTCAGTTTTACATACTTCATCTTTAGTTTTCCACGTTTATTACACTGATTTATGTGTGATTGTGTCGTAAATTATTAATTTTATTTCATTTTAAAGTCTATTTTATGTTTAGGATTACATATATTATTATTCTTTATTAAAAAAATGAATTTTAAGAGCATCCTCAATGATGACATTGGTAAATTACAATATCTTGATATATAAAACTTTTTAAGCTAGTATATTTTGTAGCTATAAAGTACGCTAATTTAATGGTGAGCAATTACGTATGGTAGCTTGAAAAAAATAATATACCTCCATTTCATATTATTTGTAACGATTAGACATTTTTCCTCTCTAATTTATGTCAAATCGTTGCAAATAATATGAAACGAAAGTAGTAATTAAGTAAAATAGTTTTATCATACACATGTCATAATTTAAGTGGATGAAGTTTTCTTTGAAAAACCAAGCAATGTAGCTTTTGTTTAATCAGCCACATCAATGCTTTCACTCCAATGGTAAGCTACATTCTTTCAATTTTATTTAATTTGCAACCAGGTCCCTTTTGTGTACCGTTGTCCATTGGAGATGCTCTAATAATTATGCAAAGATATTAATTTTTTTAAAAAAAGTCCCTAGAGACACTAATTTTCATTGATTAAAGCCATACGACATCTACAATTGACAATTCAAGACAACGAAAATAGATTTAACAAAATCAAACAAGAATTAAAGACGTACTAAGAATTCAAATACTTAGATATGAGAACCTTTTATATACCCCCCAGGTGCACATAGAGGTATGTCCACCTAAAGGAGTTATTTTGCTAATTTGATATAATTTTGCTCATTTTAGAGTTTAAAATGAGCAAAAAATTATATACATACATATATATATATATATATATATATATATATATATATATATATATATATATATCAAATGAGCATAATATATTTTGTTGCACCTTGCACCCGGGTGTATATAACAAATTTCACATAGGTATAACAATTTGGGACTTTCTCGATTTGTTGCCTCATACAGCTTTTTGAGTGGATCCGTCGTCGCTTTGTAATTTTGGGAGGAAGAAAATTCTTGTGATAAGGGAGTTTGAAAAATCTTGTCTTTCGAAGGAGAAAAATTAACCATGTCTTTCGAGGGAGACAAGTTCCTCTCAAGCGGAGAAATCATTATTATAAGTTTAAAAAAAAAAAAAAAAAGAACCATAGATTGAGGCTTTTCACTGGAAAGATCCGATAAAAGCCCCTTAAAAATTAACAATGGAGGCTAGGGTTTAGAAGAGAGGAGAAAGGGTCGGGTAGAGTTTTTTTGGGAGAGAGAATAAAGTTTGCATTTTAACTTACGCAAAGTTATTATTGGATTCTTGTCAATGTATAGTATAATAATGTTAAAGTTTTACCTTTTTGTTAAAATATAATTAAAAATAGGAAAAATTGACAGGACTAATCCCAACTTTGTTCGATTCACCCAAAATAATTCCAACTTTTGATTATTTTTTAATAATCCGAACTTTAATATGAATTTGCTTCTAATGGTCCTAACCGGTTATAAAACTTGTTATAACAAGTCACCTAACACGTGTCAAGACGTGATTGGTTAAAAAAAAATTTAAAAAATTAAAATTAAATTAAAATAATTAACTAAAAAGTAAAAAAAAAAATTAAAAATTAAAAAACTATACAAAATTTTTTTTAAAAAAACCCTCTGCCAGCCCAGCCACCGCAGCCCAGCGCCTGACCCCTACCTCTGCTGTTGGCGCTGGGCTGACCACTCCCTAGCTGGCGGATCCCGCCGGTGAATTTCTCCCCTCCCCCACCGACTCATTTACTCCTTCCCTCGCCGGCGAAGCCCACCTCACCCCTTTCCTCTTCCCACGAACAACCTTAGCAGCCCGCTGCTTCTCCTTCCCCAATTCCCCCACCGCGACGCGCCACCCTCCTCCCCTTTCCCCGATCCACCACATAAACGCCCCACCCTCTCTAAAACGACCCCCACTCCTATTCGCCGTCCCCCAAAACCATAAACCCTACCCAAATTAAAACAACCTAGAAAACCCAAAACAACCTTAAAACCAAACAAAAAGGGGAAAGGGGTAGGGTGGGCTTCGCCGGTAGGGGAGGGGGGAAAAGAGCCGGCGGGATAGGGGAATGGGCCAACTAGGCGCCGACAGTCGGTGGTTGGGGTCAGGCTGGCAGAGGGCGGCGGTGGTTGGGATGGTGGTTTTTTTTAAATAATATTTTTTAAGCTAATTAATTAAATAATTAAACCAATAATATAAATAAAAATTAAAATTAAACTAATTTTTTACCAATTACGTGATGACACGTGTACGTTAAAATTTTAAATTAACCAATTCAATAAGTTATTGGTCACCTGGGACCATTAGAAGTAAATTCATATTAAAGTTCGGATTATTAAAAAATAATCGAAAATTGGTATTATTTTGGGCGAATTGAGCAAAGTTGGGATTGTTCTTGTCAATTTTTCCTTAAAAATATTAATGGTCAAAGATACGTTTTGAAGGACCATACAAGATAGAAATAAACTCGTCATTTTGGGAGAGAGGGAATATTAATTACCGAGTAATTGTCGATAACTATTTTTTGTATGTATTAAATCAATTGTGTAGGGAGTTAATAGAACAATATTCATTGAACACAATAAGGCTTGTATGAGGTGGATTTACATTAATTTTATTTTGAGACGGTCAAGTAAGGGTAACTTAACAATTTTTATAGTAACTTTAATCCCTTTAAGGATAACTTTTAATTTGTAATGAATTTGATTGTATTTTAATGTGTAACTTATAAAGGAGACATCATACATGATTTTGAAAGCTATATGATTAATCTAATATATTATAAGTGTTTATATATGGTAAAATTTAAATTAGGAAAATGGGAACTTTTATAGTATTTATAAGGGTTAACTTTAAATACTATAAGGGTAATCTTAACTCGTCTTACAATAACTTAATTATAAAATTCCGCCTTAATCAAGAATTTGTGTATAACATTTTTCATTATAAATTGTGTATGTGGGGTGATATAAAGTTTTTTTTTTTTTGGTATGGGTAAATTAATTTTTTTTTTTGTTCCACCCGTTTCACCCTTTGGGCTAATTCGGATTTTGGGATCAGTTCTGGGTGGTTAGGTTCCAATCCCCTCCCAATTGTTGTTGTGGGGGATCGAACACGCGATCTTCCCTATCAAGTGTAGCCCCAATCACCAATACACCAACAACCAATTGGTATAAATTAATTGTCAATCGACTAAGAAAAAAACCTTGGAAACATTTGGACGAGATAAAAAGTGATTAGAAAGGGAAAAATAAAATTATGTTATGGTTTTGAGTTATTGATAAAAAGTGACTAGAAAGGGAAAAATAAAATTGCAAGTGGGATTATTTATTGGGAAGGGAAACACTTAAACAATAGTGATCTTATACCATATAGAAATAAAGTGTTGTAAGTATACAAGAACGGAGCTAAGAGAGTAATACTTCCTATCATAATTTTTCCAAAAATCTTTTCTTGCACGTGAAATTTCCGTACGTATACTATCTAGTGGTTACTCCCTCCGTCTACCGCTATTGTTTTTAGTGAAAGCTTTTTGGTTAAATGAGAAAAATGAAAATGAGACGGAGGGTGTATTATTGTATTATTTTTGGTGTTGTAACTTGCAAGAGTAATTTTTTTATTTTTTAAGACCCTATGACCGAAGTACTTGAGGTGATGAAGAGGCAGCAGCACAATCCATTGGATTAAACCCAATTCTCTCATTCATCAAGTCATAAACAACCTCAACATTTTGTTGCTGAAAGTTTCCAAAAATAGCAGCCGGACCACCACTATCATTACCATCATTTTCGTCGTTCATACCTTGGTATAACAAGCATTTCACCACACTAGAGTTACTTGGCGGACGAATGGCGTAGAAATTATTAGCCCTTGGCACAAACAAGCTCACATTATCTAAGAAATGGAATGTAATTGAAGGGAGATCATCATTCTCCAAGCAATTACTACTTCCATTGTTGTTAGGGCATGGGATGTAATAACAAAGGTCAAATCCGGTTTGTTTTTCTTGCTCAATGGCTCGAGGATGTTGGATGGCTGATTGAAGGTCTAGGAGGAGTTGTGAGTACAAGGGTTCGGGTAAATGTGTATATGTGGTTCCGGAGTCAATCATCATCCCTCCGTTGCCCTTAGCATCGAACTCTCTCAACTTCATTGGTACTTCTTTCATGCTCATATTGCTTATTGTAATGGCTTCTAGGCCAATGTAGTAGTAGTTAGGGTATGTAGGGTTAGTCAACAATGGAGTAAATTTGGATGACTCCTTGGAAGAGATAGCCTCGTCGCCAATGATTAGAGGGCTCGAAATATTAGGATTACTAGCAAATTTGAAGGACACAAAACAATGGGAGAAACCTTTATTAAGATACCCTAGTTGTGATAGTAATGAGAGTGAGCCTCTTCCAAACCCTGCTATTCCTAAAGGTTCCTTATAAGCTTGCCTTATACATCCAAAACGAAATCGTTGAAAGTCTTTCGTGGTACTACTAGGGCCGGTACTATGGACTCTTAGTAAGTCCTTGGCTAATGTCCCGGTTACAACACCGCCACCCCCATACGTGTAAGCAAATGAAGGGCATGGCCTAGAACATGTGCCCTTAAGAAGGGTATTCAATGAGCATCCAGCCATAACACATGGATCATATGAGCTATCAGAATTATGGATTTGGGTGCAAAAAGGACTAGAACAAGAAATCCTAAGAGAGGAAGATGAATTTAAGGGAGAAAATGCACTTGTTAACCTATTTATCCTATAATATTGATCACATTCTATACAATCAAAGGATACATTTCCACAAGGAACCCAAGTAAGGTCGCTTCCTGAGTCCATATAGACTTGTATGACTTGAGGCGGTGTCCCTAGGTTGAAGGACATTAAATATCCGTCCCTAGTCGCTCTTAGTGGCTCCACCATATCGAACATTGCTGGCTCTGGTTGAATTTCCTTAGCCATAAGTAGAGCATTAGAGTGCTTTAGAGGGACGACATTCCTCGAATGAGTTAGGCCGATAATTAAGGTATTAGGAGTAGTATAAACTTTTGCAAAGGATTGAGAGGTACAAAGTATTAGAGCTAATTGTAAAAACGTGAATATGGTGATGAAAGAGGATATTATTTGAGGCATGTTTTGTTTATGTGTTTTTCTACAATTAAGTGTATGTTTAGGTAGTATTATTATGATCATAGCTTATTGTTTCAAGAGGTTATATATATAAAGAGAATATGGGCATTTTAATGATTGATTAAGGGAACTAATAAATAATATGAAGTCTTTAAATTTTTATGAACTATTAACTAATACGAAGTAGATAGTGATATGAAGGTGTGCTTGCTTGGCTCTTAGCATGGATGAAGATGCAAGCTAACTAAGTCTGTTATGAATTAGTTGGCAATGATTATCGTTGCTAATGGAAACCCAGCCCGTCAGCATGCCAATTTTATTAATTAGTAACCAAGTTTTTTAACAGCCTTATAATATAGTTTAATTTTCCATTTCCTTACTTACACTATGTTATCTTAGATTCCGAGATAGAGTAATTGTACTTTTTTGAGACTTCAACCAATTTAAATTTTAGATAGAGTGTTAATAGTTTTTTGGGCTTCAGCCATCAAGAGTCGGCATGATAAAAGATTACAGACAAATCTTGTCAATCTCTCTTTTTAAAGTGGAATATTTAGCTTTAAGTGTATGTTCTATTCACATTATCTAAGCTTATTGTTAGACCAAAATTACTACATACCTTTGAAATGCTAACATTTTTAATGATTAAGATATGATGCCCAAACATTACTTTTACTAGCCTACCAATTAATAACGGGCTAACCATTACCGTGCCAAATATTCTACTCCATAAATTTTCCTAATAAATTTTTTAATCTAATCAAAATTAACGCTAACGGCTACTTAGAAAGCTACCACCAAAACAAAGCAAAACTTTGGATCAGACTGCCTAAAAATAGCAAGTACCTAAGACGTCAGCTCTTGTAACTTTTGGTGCTTAGCAATAGCCAAATCTCGAGAACTCATTATTATAAACTTAATTATTCTTAGATAGTGATTTCCATGTCAATTAGACCTTATAAGCTGACGAGGAACTGACCCAACATCCCTTGAATCCTGGCTCCTCACTAACGTATGTATAACTGACTAATAACCGTTGTGTTCGTACGTGACACCGTCTTAATTAGTACTAATAAGAAATTAATTAAGGAAAAGGCTAATCCTTTTTGGTAGGTATGTAAGATAATATATAATATATACGAAGAATATGAAGAAATTAATTAGTACAGAAATTTCAAGGCGAATTATATTAGTCCAAGGTTTCTATTTTAAGTAAAGTATAAGTACATAATTAGGCATGTTGAAGTGGGCGACTGGGTGTAGCAATTGATATCTAGCTGTATATCCACGACAACAATCGTATGGGCGGCAGTTTGTAATGCTTGAAGCCCAATTTCATAACCGAACAGGTTTGTTTAATCATTTACTTCTTATATGTGTCGTGTCTGTGCCAATTTAGTGATCGTTTGGTTGCACATAAAAAGTTATACTTTTTTCAAATTCGCAATTTTTTTGAAATTGCACTTAATAGATGGTGAGTACAGTATATTATTTGGATGAACACATTATCATTACTAGTGAATTAGTAATAATAATTTTTACTTACCTATATCATCAAGCAAACAGTAAGAATTTTGATTATGTGATCCACAATTCCACATCTTGGCTCCTTTAATCTATATTATTATTAAAACTCCAAGGTAAGGAGTGTTATATCGCCATGTGTCATTTTTTTTTGTGTTATTGCGCCACACCATATTCCAACCTTGCCACATAATCGAAGTGTAGTAATGTTTAGTCTTCTTGGAAAACTCTTCATTGGTTTAACCTCCATTTATTAATGTTTAATTGAATTGAAAAACTCTTCATATGTATAACCACTACTCTATTTAAATTTCCTTCTTAATAATTGCACAATAATATAATTTGATTGAAAAGCTTTTCATATGTATAACCACCCTATTTAAATTCCCCTTGAAATCCTTAGTAATTGCACAATAATATAATTTGTAAGAAATTAATCATTACTCCATTTTTTGTGCATTAATTCATAAAATTGTAGTTACAGAGTACAAGCAATAATCTTTAATAGTATATATTGACATCAAAATTATAAAGATTTGATTTATTATTTGTTCTATACTAACAAAAAAAAAAAAAAATTATAGTCAAACCAACTAGCTTACACAAACAACTAACTACGTACTTAAGATCTCATCTTTTAAAAAAAAAAAAAACACACGCTATTTAAGCTCTCAGTGTCAAACAAGACCAAAGTATACTTTGATTGAAGTAATAGATTTATAATGAACTGGAACATCGCTTGGGTCAATAACTAGTTTGTATGTTATACACTCCAAAAGTCACTAAGTTAACTATGATAACAAACTTTACCTATGTGGTTACATCACTCTTTTTAGTGGCATTTGGACCAAAAATCAAGATATATACATAAAATTTGGAGTAAAATTTAAATCAAGAAATTTCAAATATTATCTAACATGGAAAACCAATTAATAAACCATATATCATCTTAAAATTTTGCCTCAATAATTTAGGCATAAAAGAAATACAAATACCCAATAGACAATTGATAATGTTACATGCTATAAAAAGAGCTTGAATAATCACTATACAGATTTAAGTATGGAATACCAATTGATCACCATAGAAAAAGAAAAAGAAAGAAGAGATATACAATACAAAAACCTTCATCTATAAAAATTACTTACGAAAACTTCAAGACCAACACTTTCTCCCAACCTCAGAAGCGCCCCCCCCCCCCCCCCCCCCCAGTTGATTATGATGATGCTAGTAAACACACTTGAGGACATACAATCCGAGACAATGATCTTATGGTTCGATGCTCCATGAATGAAGTGTTACTGCTTTGTTATGCTTTGGTTCATTTAGAGATCACTTGAGGTTCAGGAAAAATGCAAAAAAAGAAGCAACCCGAAAAACCTTCTTCCTCATATATTACACTACAACTGCATGACCAGTCATTCCATCATGAAGTTGTAGTGAACCGTCTTTCATCAAGTTAAGGCTTAAACTCTTGAATCTTTCTCTTGAGTACTGCCTAGAAGCCTTCCTCCAATCAGTTCCGGTTTTCATCATTGCCACGAACTCTTCGTAACTAATTCGACCATCCTAAGAAAAACATTGAATATGTCAGAAACTGATATGATGGACTGATAGTTTAGACGGCATCATATGGTCAAAAATCGAGCAGAGAGGGGGAGAGTTACCTTGTCTGTATCAACTTCGCGCATGATCTCAGTTAGAACATCTGCATCAGTTTCAGCTGATTCATCAGTCAATGCATCTCGAAGCTCATCCAGCTCAATGTAACCACTTCCATCTTTGTCAAAGTACATGAATGCTCGCTGGAAGTGTTCGTCGTTCTCCATTTTCTGCAAGTGGATAGTCACTGCCACAAACTCTCCATAGTCCAAGTAACCATTTCCATCAGCATCAGCCTGCACAGAAAATTTGTGTTGGCAACACATCAGCAATTAACAATGGGAGAAGGAAACTTCTTGCTTAAATTATATGTGTATTTAAGTTATCTTACACACTCTTAATTTATATATGCTGAAATTTCAACACTCAGACATGGGTATGGACATTTGACACTTCATTATGTACCAAAAACTTAAAATAAAAGGCGAGTCTAACAGAGTTAAAATGCTAATTTCTTCAAGTTCACTAGATTTTTCTTTGTTGATTGCTCGTTTCTTCAAGAACAAACTAGCGCGTAGTTATTTCTCATCCAGCACCCAAACTAGACCTACTCGATCTCTGCTATAAACCAGAGTCACTACTAACTAGACTATTCGTGTTTAAGCAAGACTGTAAACTGTAAAAGTACTATAGGGAACCATAACAATTTTTAATTTTCACTTTTCATTTTGAGTTGGATAGATGAATCATTTTGAGTTGGATAGATGAATCATTACAATGTCCTTAAAAGAGAAAAAAGGAGAATTTTCCTCAACAGAAGCAGAGTTCATAACACTAAAGAATTAGATTGTAAAGGCTAGAAAACACATGGAAACTTTCATTACAATACCATTTCATCAAAAGGTACACAGCATAAAGTAGATACCTAGCATATGTTTTTTCAAGAAATAGTAATGATGACACAGGTTCATGAAAGCTTACCACTTCCATGAGGAGCTTTATCTCTGCCTCGCCAAGTTGAGAACCGACCTTTCGAAGGCCAGCCCTCAATTCTTCATATGTTACTTTTCCATCGCGGTCAGTATCCATCAGCATGAACATATCTCTGATAATTTCTACCTCTTCAACTGTCAAATGTTCTGCTATGACCTATATAACATCCAACATTCCAAGTTTAATAACAAATTCCATTGGTTATCCTAGATGATGTCAACAATCTCGAATGCTTACCCTTAGCGCCTTCTTCTTGAATCTATTCATCCCGGCAAACTGCTTGAGTCTTGTCCTAACAATATCTCCCAATGGAACATTTGAAGCTTTCTTTGCATTCTGTATCCAAGGGTGTTCTACATATAGATAAGAGATGCACATACGTTTCTTTTCAGGCGAAATGCACATGAACACTTAGGAAAGCGAAGAAAGGGAGAAGCATTATCGTCTCCTTTGATGCATCAAAGTCTATCTTATACTAAGATGAGAAAAAAATAAGGCTCACCTAGAACTTGTTGAGCAGTTAATCTCTTTTTAGGGTCTGGATCCAACATCTGTTTCACAAGACTCTTTGCACTTTCAGATATTTGAGGCCATGGTTCTCTCTTGAAATCGAGCACTCCTCGTAAGATAGCCAGTGCAACACCTTGCTCGGTCTCTGCAATCCAAGGCAAATTAAGGTTATAAGAGCACAACGTAACTTCTAAGAATGAAGAAATTCTCAAATCATACTAACCCGTCTATTGAAAATTAATAGTCACACGTACTATTTCAAGATATCCTGCATGCAAAAGTTTTTACTTTTCCTAAATTGTACTGTAATGTTTGTGATCGAATTTCTTAACATGCCCTTACTCAACTTAAGAATAATGGATAGCAGATTAAGTAATACAGCTATTAAAGGTTGGTTTTCTAAAATCAAATTTTATTTTCAAAAGTTCAAGGCAATGTAACAACTAGTTTCGGACAAAAATTTAATCGTTACTTGCCATCATCTGTCAAGTGACAATGGCACATCTTATGAACCATCAGTAATGTTCTTAATAATGTTTGCATCATGTCTATTATACACCTTAATAGGTTAGCGCTCCTAAAAATAAGTAAACCTACACGGCCACACACTCAAGTATTCAACGTCACATAACTAACCTTACGTATCACAAAACATCATTAGACTCTTGACTACTCCAAATTCTTTATTATAACTTATACAAGAAGTATAACACCTATCAACCCAAATTCTTAATTCTAATCCACAATTCTAAATAAAAACAACAAGAATTAATATACATCATATTTAATAATTTCCAGCTAAAAAGTTAGTAGATTGAAATAAATTAAACAGTAACATTGATGAAATAGGTGGGAAGCAATAAAGAAAGTACCTGCCCAAAAAGGAGGAACACCGCAAAGAAGAATGTACAGAATAACTCCAGCACTCCACACATCCACCTCTGGCCCATAATTTCTCCTCAACACTTCTGGGGCCATATAATATGGGCTCCCCACTATTTCTGTGAACCTTTCTCCTGTTTTTATTATCCCAATTTAAAAATTAATCAACATTATAGATCAAAATCAATGTTTAATTTAATCCATTTTCATTTGAACATTTCCACTATTCTAGTCAAAGAAATATATTCAGATTAGATAATGAAGTAAGATTTGAATAATTGTAAAAATTGACTTAGAATACAAGTTTATGAAAATACAAAAGGTAGATATTGTGATACATATACCTTCGCAATCATACATTCATACCATTCGTATTATATCAAATTATATGTGTTGGTTATTTGACCATAACAAAATGTATTACAAGAATGCAAATTACGGCTTCAGTAATAGGTTAATATGGATAAATATCATGTAATTAAACTAAGAAATTAAAACATTAAGATGTATCATCATTGACAATTTCCAAATAATTTGCTAATAATATTTTTTAAATTAGGTTGGTATTAAATATTAAAAATAAAAAAAGAGCTAAGCTTCCTTTTACTCTTTTAGGACTTCTCTAATTCATCTAATTACATCATTAACAAAAGATCTTATGAAATGTTGATCACTTGATCACATAATTTACACTCTCCCTCCCTCTTGTAACACTTATTGAAAGCATTTATAAGTGCTTAATTTTCACTATTTACTCCACTTATATCTAGTACGTACTTTAAATCGTAGTCATTTCAAGTCAAAACAAACACGTAAAATCAATCATCTAACACTAAAAACACATTCACGCGCAAACAAGCGAGGAAGTTCTATGTTAAACATTCAAACACTAACATAGACCTTTCTCACTTTAAATCTGTGCTTTCATATTATATTCATGTATGTGAGACTGATCGATCTCGAATATTAACAAAAACAACATACTAACCAGGTCGGAAGAAAACGGAGAGGCCGAAATCGATAGCCTTAAGAGGAGAATTCTCCTTCTTATTAGCAAACAAGAAATTCTCCGGCTTCAAATCTCTATGCATAACACCATTATCATGACACATCTTAACAACCTCAGCAACCGTCTTCGCAACGGTAGCCGCGGCTCGTTCCGAGTAATGTCCGCGTGCAACAATCCGATCAAACAACTCACCACCTTCACACAACTCCATCACCAAATGAACCGCCTCATTATCCTCATACACCGCCTTTAGACGTACTATATTGGGGTGAACCGGAAGAGTAGACATGATAGCTACTTCCCTCCTTACATCTTCTACGTCAATCGCGGTTCGTAGTTTTCTTTTCGATATTGACTTGACCGCGAGCCGGTCTTTAGTCTCCCGGTCTGTACATAAATAAGTAACCCCGAACTCGCCTCGGCCGAGCTCTCGGCCTATGACATATTTATCACTAATACGCGGTCCAACCGCGGGAATAATGTCTTTTAAAACTCGTACCGGGGCCGGTTGAGGTTGGTTTATTGAGTATGGGTTAGGCCGGGTTTTTTTCTTCTTGGTTTGTGGGGTTTTTTTAGGGAGTTCTTCCGGTCTAATACAAGCGTTACAATTTCCCATTAAAATTTGATGATCACTTTGAATTTTTTTTTTTTTTTTTTTTTTTTGGTGGAGAAAATATGGAGAGAAGAGAGAAAATTTGAGGTGAGAAGGGAGAAATTGAAGAGGTAGATCAGTTGAGAAAAATGGTGTTATTCAAAAACCAACAAAAGTTGGTGACATTTTATTTGGTTTTTGTTAAGATATTGGAAGTTAGATTAGTAGGCGCTACTTATCAAAGGATGGGTGATGGTTACTAATTAATAATTTTAGTATTATACTTTTCTTATTAAATTTTTTTTTGCTTGTTTAAGAATATAGGGTAAGAAAGGGTGTGCTGATAATTTTGATCTAGATGGTAATAGTTGGCATGAGAATGTTTAAGAGTGTGTGTAGAGCTGGGTAAGAGTGGGGTCGTGTAGGTTCATGTGTTGTGTTGATTTAGTGGATATATTATGCTACAAATTCTCCAATAGATCGAGAATAGAACGCACCTAGGGAATTGTCGGGTAGTGTCATTCAACTTAAGCCGATCTATTATAAAGGAGTCTCATACAAAATCTCACGTGACTATGTTAAATGATTATGTTAAAGGAGTCTCATACAAAATTATACATAAATTATCAAGTGGGAGTATTTAAATAGGGGCAGATCTACCTTGTACAAAGGGAAGACACTCGTACACCCTGATCGAAGTGAAATACAAAGTAATGAAATTATATGTTGGTTATGTTGTTATCATTATTGATAAATTAATTAATAAGTTGGTTATGTTGCTATTAATATTAATTAATATCACTATATACATTTAAATTTGAATCTAATTTGAGTACAATTTGTTGTTCTAGAATGGGGTTCCACTTCGATAATCATATAATAAAAGTCTAATGGTAATTGAAATGACACCAAAAGAGAGGAAAATAATAACATTTTGAAAGATATTAATAGGCTCGTTAAAATTGATAGATCGAATTAATTTTTCTCAGAAATAAAAGGGTTTGAATTAGGAAAATTCATGAGGAAGGTACTTTTATGTAGACCTTATTGTGAGGAAGGTCATTTTATAAAAAAAGGATGGTACAAAAGATCCTTATATCGTGTTTGGGTTGTGGGGAGGGTCCTTTGACCAGATTCCGACGTTGACTTTTTTTTTGTTTTCCGGCCAAAAAAAGTCACGTGCAAAGCACGTGACCACTTAAGTTCTCCTTTTTTTTTCTTTTTTTTTTTCTCTCTTTTACCTCGTTTTCTCCTTTTCCCCCTTATTAAACCCTAATTTCCGAATACAATTAACCCCAAAATTTCAATTGTAATCCCTGGAATTAAAATTGAAGGCAATTCAAAGTAATTCAAGGCTAATTGGAGAAGGTAAAGTGAAAACCCTTTGTCAATTTGAAGTTTAATTTTGCAACGAGGGAAAAGAGGGAAAAAAGGGAGGGGGGACTTAAGTGGTCACATGCTTTGCACGTGACTTTTTTTGGCCGGAAAAAAAAAAAGTCAACACCGAAATTTGGTCAAAGGACCCTCCCCACAACCCAAATACAATATAAGGACCTTTTGTGCCACCTTTTTTTTCTATAAAAGGACCTTTCTCACAAAAAGGTCTATATAAAAGGACCTTCCTCACAAATTTTCCTTTGAAGAAATTATGGTTTTTATTTTGTTCACATACACCATAGCGGAAAATCCACAACATGTTATGATGTGGGTAGACTAATAAAAAAAACACCGACAGATTTCTACATATATCTATACTAATATATTAAAAAGTAGCGTTTATAAGAACGTCGTTTATGTTCTACCCAGACTCTCTCATTACGCTAATTGTCAATAATGTTCTAAACTTGCACCCAAATTAATACTATACTATAAAAGTATTGAATACACATACAAACAACTATTAAATGCCTTTTAAAAATTAGCAGTTACACAACTACAAAAGTAGCAACCTGAAGCAACGCCCAAACTACTCACCAGTTATTTGTTTGAAAGTACGGAGTAATGTATTCCATATTTCCATGGAGTAATTAATTTATTGGTTAATTTGCTAAATTAGTATAATTTAATTTCCTCGAAAATCTACTGTTCCCTCCTTTCCATATTATAATTCCTGTTTCCTTATTTTGGAGACCCAAAATATTGTTCCTGTTTCTATTTTAGGATAGTATGTAAAGATCATAATACCCTCATTTTTTTAAACTTTATTTATTATACTTTCTAAATTACCCCTGAATTTTCCACTTGCTTTGTACTTTTTTCATTTTCTCTCTCTAACTTTTGTCTATAACTATACTTTTCATCTTTTTTATGTACTTCATTCACTTATTCCTCTCTAACTTTTGTCTATAATTGTACTTTTTACTTTTTTTTATGTATTTCATTTACTTTTTCTCCCATTTCTTAAATATCGTGATCGAAACCACAAACAGGAACTATGTATTGGGACGGAGGGAGTAGTAAATTTTTTTTTAACAAAGGAAGGTGGAAATTTTGAATATTAAGTTCGAGCACATACCAATAAATTAAACAAAATTAGTTCGTACTCCTTAAACAAAAATCATTGAAATTTAGCTTACAAATTATTCAACAAAATTTTGACCTTTCTATTTTGTATTCACCACTTGATCAATTTGACTAATACTACACAAATTGTTTGAACTAGTTTACAAGAATTGGCCTTTGTGTTATTTTGTAGGTTATTTTAATACCAAAAAGTATGAAGAAAGAAAACAAATTTTTAAAAAATGTGAAAAATATAGGTAGATTCTAGCTTAGAAATGTTCATGTTATTTCCTATAGTTATCCATCATATAATTTGATTTATATTGACGTGAGTCAAAATTTATAAGCTTCCATAATCTTTTCAAATGCGAATGATACAAATTTTCATAATTAGGCGGGCGGAAGGAATATTAATTTGGTTGAAAGTTTTGGTAATGGTGTTTATAGTATGGGTGGATTAGCTAGAATTGGTCAAAAAAAGTGGGGCCCTTCTTAATTATCCCTAATATAGAATCAAAGTCATAAACTGATAAATAATTAGTAGTTTGGTTGCTTTTCTCTGTTGAATTGGTGGAATAATTTTTGATTTGGGCAGATGGATCGATCACGCTATAATTAAGATATATATTATAGCTACCAAACTTATAAAGCTTTACATCCCAACTTGGAAAATATGTCACACTTACAAGGAAACTTTGTAAGTGATGGAAATTTAAGGAAAAACTTCAATTTAAGCTAACTAGTATAGGTTGGTTTCAAAAAAAGCTAACTAGTATAGGTGTGAAATGTGTTTTTGGGTTCACAAGGTTAAACTTAGTTAGGTAGGTACCATCACGTTTTCAATCACATTTCATGCTTTATTCTAATCAATTTAATTTGTCATCTTATAATTAAACGCGTTGAGTAACTGATGGTGTTGCTATTCTAAAGCTTCTAGGTGATTTAGTTTTCTAAAAATCAATTTATGTACCTTCAATTCAATTATTATACAAGTATGACTTATCTGTTCTTGAACTCCAAGTGCCTTTGTAAATTAGTTCAAGACATAAATTTATCCATTAAAATACCGCGATAACTTGTTGACAAAGCACGAATGACAGGATCAATTCAATTATAACTTATAATCTAATAATACTATTATATGTTACACGGCCAAATAAAAGAAGGTTCCGTAGGAGTCAAATTGTACTTGTGAAATGCTGAAATCCAACGGATTTCATCAGCATAACTTGAAATTCTTTGCATGGAAGTTTCGTGTTACCAAATGTCAAACATCTTCCAGAAACACCAAAGACTTAACTTAACCATTTTTGTTGAAGTTGTTTACCAATAATGTATCACACCACAATTTGACCGTTGACCTAGACCATTTTTCATGTAATAATAAATATTTTTCACATTTAGAAAAATATATAACAGATTTTAATTATCTTTCAGATATTTCTAAAAGCATGACATATATATAATTTAGCAGTTAATTAAGGTTACTACTCACTAAGATAGTGCCTTGTTTTATTTAATATAATCCTTTCTCACCAACTCACTATATATTGAGGGATAAGACCTAAATATTTAATTTTTGTGTCAATTATCAACAACTAATCTTTTAATGCAGTGGTTGGGTTTTGGAGTTTGCGTTTTACTTCTAGTTCTAAGCTAGGAGAGTAGATTGTTGTTTGTTTCACAAATACGTCAAATAGGAGTTATAGGACTATAGGAGTATATATATGTAAGGTTTCCAAGTTGATCGAATTGTTAGTGAACGAAGTAATTCTTTTGTCTTACATTAAAGTGGGTGATCGACCTGTAAATAATTAGTATACTCGTTTTGCTCTAAAGTAATTGTAACATTTGACTTTTAACAGTTTTCGAAGCATAATTTTGACATTATATACTTCAATACGTATATTTAAAAAAAAAAGTCAATATTATATTTTAAATTAAAATACACATTAAACAAATCTAAGTACTCGTATATCACAAGTACACTGGAATTAATAATGTTGATTTTTCTATATATACTTGTATTAGTTATGGAGTATAAGGACGATCTAAGTATATAACTATATAAGAAAGATAGAATCGTCCACGATAAATTGTTCTTTAGATAGACAAATTTTGATTACTATGGTTTTACCAATGCTTTTATGAAAAGTAAATAAAAGTGATTATTCTCTTAAAAATAACAAAAAGAAAAAAGTAGAAGTAATTATTTGGTACCTAGGGATAAAGGTTTCACCTGGGCCTAATTAATTAAAGTTGATTACATGGATGATCTGATTGAATTACTTTAATTGGCTTATGTGGCTTCAATTTGGAATCAACATGATAATAATATGCAAAACTCTTTGATCAACCAACTAACCCATTTTCCTTTGAATTTCAATTAGCTTAGAGATGAAAAGCAAGCAAATAATTTAAACAGATAAGACATTATCATTTTCTACATAGGTTACTTAATTACAAAGAAGACAAAACCTTCATGTTGCAAGTGTAAGGTGTAAAGATATTAAAGTTGTTTG